AACCTTGTTGATGCCTGGGGCTTTTGTCCACGCCAGATACCATCCTGGAGAAGTACGCCGCTGGCCTGGTTGACATCAGCTTGATCACTTCTACCAACTGCAAGAAACTCTACATGCGTCTTCGCCGCCATATGGATGACCACGCAGATGAGGTTTCCTCGCCACAGATGGTCAAGATGTTCCATGGCAATTTGAAGGACCGCAGGAATCTCCTCCACAGTTGGTTGAAATCTGGTGAAGTGGCCTCCAAATGCGAGTTTCAACTCAACATCCAGCGGAGCTCACAGGATGATCTTGTCACTGAAGAGCAGCTGCTTACAGTTGATGGGATGAGGAAAGCAGGTATTTCTGAGACCCTTGTTTATGCTTTCATTGTTTTGGCAATTTTTCTTGTTTTGTTGGTTGGCATGAATGTGTGTGTGTGTGTTTGACCTTTCTCACTTGGAAATCTGCAGGGCAAAGATTCAAGCCATTATCCAAAGCCAAGCTCCCATTTTGGACCCGCAGTTCCCACACTTGATGGAGGAGGCTCGGTTCTGGTGCCATGTTTCGAGCACAAGGACTACACGTCAGAGAAGCCGCATGGAGGTAGCGGGGCAAGCTCGATTGCAAGCAGATGGCCATACCATGAACGCTTTGGTGTCAGACCTGGCTCCCCATCAGCCAACATCAGCTACGCCTGTGGGTGTGCAACAAGCGCTTCTGGCTCTAGGCTCAACCCCTGCACCTGATGCCCCTGATGCTCCGAAACGACCAAAAGCCAAGGCGAAGGCGAAGGGAAAGGGAAAGACGCCTCCGGAACCTGAGGCCCCCAAATCTTGGAAAAAGATTTTGGAAGATGCCATCAGTGACCTAAAGAAGGAGTACTTGGGATGCAGCTGCGCCATGGATTTGCCAAAGGGCAATGATTTGAGGACACAGCTGCAGGCTTGCAAGGTCCAGACTGGGGCGCTTTGGGATGAGTTGAAGGAAGTTGACACCGATGCCTTGGCCGAGAGGGACTTTGAGGTCTACTTGCAAAGGGCCACTGACCAGATCACCAAGTCCAAGATGTTGCGAGTGCAGGTGCGGGCCGTCTCGCGTGAGCTGGACAAAGGAAAGGCGTCTTGGCCATCTAAAGTTTCTTGTTAGACAGCGTTCTTTTGCGTTGTACTTTGGTGGTACGTTTGGCAACCAAATAAGGCGAAGAAGTAAATCTGTGGAGACGTTGATTGGGAATGCTCATGCATTTATGCTGAGCTTTGGGGTTTCCGCTCTGAAAGTCATTCGGGGACAACCCTCGCATGCAAAGAGCTGTGGTCAGTCATAGTGCTTGAATGGCCGACGCGCCATGGAAAAGAGTTCGATCTTAAGCCAGCCTGCCTGAGTTTGATGTGGTAGGCCAACCAGTGAATGAATTCTACAGCAAACAGTGGCAGGTGCTAGCCCAGCACTGCGGGATTTGATTGATCAAGAGCACCTCTTCAAATTCTGAGGTATCTATTTTTGTGTTTTGTTTCTGTACGTGTTTATAACAACCGGTTGTTTGCTGTGCAGCTGCTTCATGAGCCTGCTGAGGCTGGCTTTTGCCTTTGGAAGTGGAGACATCTCCCAGAACTTTGCAGAGAGACTGGGCAGACTAGTTGGTTCCAATACTTTTGGAGTGGCAAAATCCAGAGCTCCAGAGCAGCGTGTTCATCGCCGTGCTCAAAAACATGGTCATGCATTTCCTTGCGACGTCACAATGGTAGAGATTCCCATCAATAGAGATGGTGAAATGGAGATAGTTCCATGGCCAATGCTCCTTCCAAAGGATGTCATGATGTCCACGCTGAGTTCTGGATATAGTGAGATGCTTCTGGGCAAAGGGGATGCGCGGTTTGCATACTGGCAAAAAGCATTGCTGGACTACCCGTCAGACCAGAATACGATCAGGCCTGAGGATTCATTCCCCATCTCCATCTATGGCGATGAGGCGACCATTTTCAGATCCGCAACGATGGTTTTGCACTGGCAGGCTACGCTGAACCCGAAAAAGGGTGACAGTCTCCTTTCAAGATTCCTCATTGCGATTATACCCTCTGAAAAGTACTGGTGTGTTTCCCGGCGAGGTGATATCAATTTTTCATAGTTTGGATAATAGGGGGTACTGTGCAGTGTTTTTTAAGGAGACCAGAAGCTTGCATCTGAGGTTGGGTCTGTAAACCTCACACTACAGGCTGTGCTAGCCAAAGTCGTGGAATCCTTGAACGAAGTCTCAGAATTTGGAATTGCTTTTCAAGATGAGCCTGGTTTGAACGTTCTTTCTGAGTGTTTCTCCTTTCTTTTTGTGCCCCACACGGTCTCCCCCAACTCAGGGCAGACGAATCCGCGGCTATGTCATGAGCATGAAGGGGGACTGGAAATACTTGAAGCAGTCCATGAACCTCGTCCGGCACATGAACGCCAGGAGGCCCCGGGCTGGTGTTGTAGAATTCAAGGTTTTGAGATGTTTTGAGGTCCTTTGTGAAGGATTTTTTGATGCAGGTTTGCCACAATTGTGGAGCAAGCAAGACTGGATTAATGAATTTTACAAATCTGGATGAAGCAGCTCCATGGCGGAGCACCATTTGGCAAAGTGAAGAGCCTTGGGACACGCCACCAGCAGTGGCCCAGCTATGTTGTTTCAACTGCAAGAAAACCAGCTACGACATCTTGCATGTTTGGCATTTGGGCGTTGCAAGGGACCTGTGGCTCAGAAGGTTTCAATGCCCTTTGTTTTTATGGCCCTGATCTCTTTAGTTGGATCTCTTTGGACATTAATTGGTGCATTTGTTTGTTTGACTTGGTTCGTGAGGATTGGTGGAGTTATGCATGAACTTGTTCATGGAGGATGGTTTGGCGGTGGGTCCAGGAAAGCGAAGCTGAATGTGGCCTTTTCGCGAATGCAGCGGTGGTGCAAGACTTTTGGCAAAAAACCATCCCTGCGGAAGTTCAGCGTAGACAATATGAACATGAAAAAGGGACAATTTCCAGACGCTTGTTCTTTTGAGTCTGTGGTTTTGTTGAATGTTTGTTTGTTTTCTGCTGATTTCTGTGCTATCAGCTTTTAGACAGTGAGGAACTGCGAGCTAAAGGCTTCGATAGCTACATCGTTCTGAAGTGGCTATGCAGTGAACTGAAGGATGTTCAGCACGACCGTTTCGAGATCCTGGAGAGCATGGTGACCTGCGCAGACGTTTTCATCAGCGTCTTGTGTTGCGGGCCAGACTTTTTGGCTTTGGAAGACCAACGTACTCTGCAGGTCGTTGGCGAAGCATTTTTGAAAGTCTACTTGGCCTGTGTGTACAGCCATCCCACGATTTATAAACTCAGGCCCAAGTGGCACCTTTGTCACCACCTCTGTTTGGAGCCGGCGTTGCGACCCTCGGGCCGCAACCCGGCACAGGACTCTACTTGGATGGATGAAGATTTTATCCGTCATATAGCACGAGTGGTCCGTAGGACGCACCGCAAGACATCAGCGTATACTTGTTTGCAGAGGTACTTGATCCTCTTGAAGCAGAAGCTTCGTTTGTTCAGTGAGTGAAAGGTTTGCTGGCAGATGTTGGCGTGTGTGTGTTGTTTTTTCCCTTCCCAGAAGGTATGTTTGGTTTGTGTGGGTGTGGTGTCTTAAGTAGGTTTTGGGAAAGAGGCTCAAGAATTGGTGATGGCCTGGTGCAGGACACCAATGGTTTTTGCATGCAAACGCATGCTAATTTTGATAGTTTTCAGATGGTTGCAAACCATAATTCCATTGGTTTTTGCATGCAAACGCATGCTAATTTTGATAGTTTCAGATGGTTGCAAACCATAACTCCATTGGGTTTTGCATGCAAACGCATGCTAATTTTGATAGTTTCAGATGATTGCAAACCATAATTCCATTGGTATTTGC